CAGGGAACTAACAAAATATATAAAGTAAATATTTATAGCGGAAAATTAAAAGAATTATAAACCGTATAAGAAATACAATAATAACAACAAAAATGTGTCAACCAAAAATGTGTCAAAATAGTAATATTATTTATTTATTTAAGTAATAGGCTATTAAAGCACCCCGACCTAAAAGATCTATTGTGCTCCTAAAGATCCAACTAGGACAATTTTAGACTATTTATAAATCTTGTAACTGCTGTGGGCTTAATTTTACCTTTTTGACTTGGGACTAATATCCCGCTTCCAAGGTAATCGAGTCTACGTCTTGCAACCGCTGGGCACTTGCATAGAACATGTTCTGATGTTTCCTTCTCCTCATGACAGAGTCAACAGGAGTCACTTTCTACCACACCTATAATCTTCATATGCTAATTAAGTCTACAGTGTTCTGTAAGAAGTTCAGTGTAGATTTTAATATCGTTTCTGCTAAGGCCAAGGATAGCATCAACTTTGATGTGATCAGGATCAATGAATCTTTTTGACTGTCGCATGCCTGTTTGGGCTCTCCAGTGTTCAAGTAGATGATGCTCTGGACCAATGAAAGGAGTACATGCACCCTTCTTTGCTAGGGAGTCTGCTATTTCATTGCCCTCATGCCCTTCGTGTCCCGGTACCCACATAAGAGTAACATAGTTCCTCGATGCTAGGGTGTTGAGAAGTTGAAAGCATTCCCAGACCAACTTTGATTGGAATAAGGATTTTGCTAAAGATTTTAGAGCTGCTTGGCTGTCTGACAGGATGCACATTTTGATACCTCGGGTGCCCCTTCGTATGCATTCTCTTGCGCATAGCTCTAAGGCATGGACCTCTGCCTAAAAAATGGAAGCAGTTTTTCCCATAGTAGTATAAATAAGATTGTCAATATTATGATATGACTTCATGTAAAACATGTTTTTTGGTCATTACCAAATATAACGTAAAATTGTCGTGACCATTCATCATATGACTGTTTGTATAACATAACCCCAAATAACTTGTCTCTGTGTACCTCTTTATTACTTGAAGTGATAGATGTACTATGATGGCATTAGTAAACTTGGAAAAATTAATGTATAAACTTGTTATTCAGGAGTTTACGTATGATATGAAATGATGTCGTAAAATATTCTTAATATGATTAACATACTTATGTTGTAATAATAAAATATAGCTATTCACTACACAGTTGTTCTGGCGATTGCTTAAAACTGTTATTTGCGATTTAAGTTATTTAATTTAAATGAATATTAAATGAAATGAATTTAAAAATCATTCTTGCAGGACATATTATTCATTGGATGAATGCCTGATGTTATGTCGTATGCGAAGTATGATCAAGTACTGCGGTTGTGTTAATCCACCATGGCCAAGTGATCTCATAAACGGAAGCATTTGCAATTTACTTGACCTTCCATGTCTGACAAGGTGGAAAAGTGTCTGGTATGGCTGGAAAAGTTTTGATTATGTTAATAAACAGCAGAACTCAAAGGAACTATTTGAGTTTGAAAACTGTGGTTTTTGTTTACCCACTTGTAGTGGTGTGAAATTTAAAATCAGCGTAAATGATTTGCCACTTCGAAATGTTATAAGCAATTCTGGCGATTATTATAGTCATGGTATACTGTAAGCATTATATAGAATTTAAATTCACTTAAATACTTCTATTATAATCTAATCTCGTTTTAATAGAGAGGGACTAACAAACGATCAACCGCTAGCAGTCATTAAATTATTTTTTGCGAAACGTTATGCCCAGGCAACTGAAACGACTGTTGTTAGCGATTGGGTTGTTTTATTAAGTAAGTTATTAATTAGTAATATCTATTAAAAAATATCTTCGTATTACATACTTATTTTTATTTTAGATCGGTATGGCGGTATATTATCCTTAATATACGGTTTTAGTATTATAAGCTATATTGAAATTATTTATTATTCTTCTGGTAAATGGTTTGTTAGCTTTTACAGAAGCATTAAGCACAGAAAACAACAAGACCCTGATAGCACCATAAAATCTATTAAATACAAAAACCAGAAGTTTTTAAGTAATTATAATCTTTATTGGAAAGAATTGCAACCGAAATTGAAGATAATTGATTCTACGCAAAATAAATAAATGTCTAGCACAAAATACACTATCAAATACCACATACTGATGTTGATATATCTCACAATGACACAATGACACAATGATTTCAAATTTAAGGATTATACTAGAGTATCGAAAGGAAAACATTTTCGTACTCCACAAACTACAAGGGTAGGATATTCACTGCACAATCGCTCAAGTACGCTGAGATGTTGAAATTAGTGTTTTGTGAATTATAGCATAGGAAAGATTTTGGAGATATCGATATCGACCTTAGATACACTGCGTGAAACACTTCAAATAACGTTCTACTTATCGCAGAAATCTATAGCTGGGCTATAAACGTACGGCACTACACACTATCATATTTTTTACAAAATATATGTTTGAAACCACATTAAGGCATTACGCTTTTAACCAATATCTTTGTAAATAGTTTTTTTTATGTTCTAACAAAGTAAGTTCTGTTGGTAATGGAATGTAGAAGTCCCCAAATAAATGTTAATATGGAAGCTAATAAACTCAAAGTGTTGTTCTTACTGTTTAGTGCAACCGTGTTTATTGCTTGTTAAATTCTTTTTAATTTTCAAATGTTCGTTATGTTGTTCATCACTTTTGTTTTGCTTTTTGTACGAGTGTATCTATATGTTTTTCATTTTTGTACTTTTTTTGCTTTTTGTACCACGTTTTTTAATGACTGCTGTCTTTAGTCGCGTTTACAATATATAGAATTATGCACAATTAATTTGATTTACGATTCTTTAAACCATCATTTCTTTCAAATAATTTAATATAATAAAGAACTAACCTTCTCAGAACTACTGGTTAGTATATTTATTGTGTATTTAAAAGCCGTCAAATACTGAATGGCTATTTTGTTGCGATCCAATATAACAACAAATTATGAATGAAGAAATTATTTGCAAATATTCTAAAAAAAAATAAGTTAATTTAAAAATTAAATTGTTTATTTTGAACCAATTATTGCTAATAAGATAGCTCAACTTGGTTAAATCTGAGTATGTAATAATCACATTTAATTATTTATTCTTAGTGAATACCTGAATAAATTTCAAATTTATATAATATTATATATAAAGCATGTATTCTTCAAAATTTAAGAATATTTTATATTCCTAAAAATTCCAATAAGCATTTTTGTAGTTGTTAATTAATTTATAACGTATTAATTTGAGACAATAATTATTAATCATTACATCGATGCCAAGAATAAACAATCCTTAACTCCATATAGTAGTAAAGTAAGTATTATATTAAAATTATTTCAATTATTTACATTAATTGAATTCACATTAAGTATTCTGTGTTCAAATCAGATCATATATATATATGTTGTAAAACGAACTCGCTCACATCCTCGCTCGACAACATCATACAATTTTTTACATTGTAACACCTTTGTTAGTTTATAGTTTGCTTGTAGCACCAAAGCAAGCAAAAGTGCAAGCTTATAGCGCTAAAAAGGTTATTCTTAAAAATTTCTGTAACAATATCGATGTATGACAAAGTAATTGGTAGCAGAGGGCGCCATATATTTCTTTACAGTATGCAGTACTACGTCCAGTATTTAATTTAATATGTTACAATAGGGATATTCACTCTGTCTTGCAAAGTCATTGCGAGATGCACGAAATGCAGGAATGATATACTAAAATTGCAAGAGCGCGAGAACATCTCTATTGCATTAAAGCCATGCCTTTAGTTCGTAGCTTATATATTTGTATGAAAATTAGTTTTTGAATTAGTCTTAAGAATAAAATGCATTTTATACTTTTCTTTTTTAACTAAATATAAAACATAATTTCACATTA